GTCTCCGACGAATGACACGGCAACCAGCCTGGATGGATGACTATGCAATCCCCCTCCCAGCACAGTCACGAGCTGCCTACGCCCCCCAGGATGCAGGATACCCCTCCGAGCAACAGCGTCCCTACCACAGTGTGAATGGAGCTACAGAGAGATATGCCAGGATGACACCTCTCACTCCCCCTCTACTAGATGAGGAGTCAAGAGCTGAGCAAGGAGTGGATGCCAAGTACTTGCACCTACCTGATATGGCTGGCCCACAGTACCAGAGCACACCTTTGTCACCCCAGCGTAACCCAACTGCAAGAGCCGCACTGGAAGTCCTCGATACACTGCAATAACTACTGGAGGAGAATCAGAAGATGCATCGACAAGATGATAGACCTGCACAGGCAACTTGCTGGAGGAGCTGCACAGCCAGTCCTACCATCGCGTGTGCAGTCTCTCCTCCATTCTCCGCACGCAAGAGCATCTGCCCAATGGTCACGTCCCATACAGCAGGATGACCGTGTGGATAAGTTTCCTTTGCCACCGCCACCTCCACTGACTAGTGGATACATACAGCTTACAGATACTAGTGTCTGGCCACCACCACCACCTCCTGTAGCAGACAATGATGCTGACATGCACCAGCCACTCCCTCTGCCACCGGACCTGGTCACAGAGCTCACCAACCTGCTGAAGGGCCTGAAGGCAGCTAGACAAGAGCCACCTCCCCCACACCCAGGTCCCTGGTACCCAGAGCCCCATGATCCTGTGCCGAGAATACCGACACCACAGTACTGTCCACCGTGCACACAATCTGAGAGTGAATCAGAGTTCAACAGCCCCTTGCCTCCCCCTCAGCGGGAAACCGTGTACCGTGGTCCGAAGCCGACAATTCCAGCATTCTCCAGAGGGGACCCAAGAGAGTTCGCCAGACTCAAGGTTGCCCTGGAGAATCTGCTTCCAGTCGACTCTACAGAGCGCTTCAAGTACCAGATCCTGGTCGACCATCTCAAGTATGAGGAGGCCCTGCTCATCGCAGACTCATACACAAACTTTCCGCAGCCCTATACAGATACAATGGCCAGTCTAACAGAGCACTACGGACAGCCACACCAGCTAGCACTTAGGCGAATTGCAGAGCTGATGGACGCCCCAAGCGTTGCTCGTGGTGACACCACTGGATTCAAGCGATTTGCCCTCAAAGTGAGAGCGCTGGTGGGCATGTTGGACCAGCTAGGGGACAGTGGGCAGACAGAGCTCAGCTGCAGTTCTCATGTAACAAGGCTCCTTTCCAAGTTACCTCAAGACATGCGGGCAGAGTTCAAAAGGTTCCTGTATCCCCTGCGCATCACCATCCCAAGCCTCCTACACCTCTCTGACTGGCTGAATTATGAGCTAAAGATTCAGGAGACGTTGTATGAGTCACTACGTAGAGAGGACAAGAGCAACTCCGGGCCCAAGGCAGAACGACGACGTGAAGGCAAAGGGGTGAGGAGCACTAGCATTCTGCATGCAACGGATCAGCCTGAAACCACTCAAGCAACGACAAATCCACCCCCCAATGCCAAGCAGTCAGAGAAGACAGCGTATTGCCCCTATTGCAACAACAATCAGCACTTTCTCAACCAGTGTGTAAATTTTGCCCAGCTCACTTTGGACCAGAAAACTGCATGGATAAAGACCACTAAGGCATGCTGGCGATGCGGTCGCCAGCATCAAGCGGCTCAGTGTCGTCTAAAGGCATTATGTGAAGAGTGTAAAGGGAGGCATCTGCGAGCACTGCACGAGGTGAATGCAAAGCCTGCTGCTGAGAACACCACTTGCCTTGTCAGCACAACCAACGACGTCCTGTACCTGGATAGACGGGCAGGTTGTAGTCAGGTTCTGCTCAAAGTAAGCAAAGTGCTGCTACGAAATGGTGTACACTCCCTGGAAACATATGCCATCCTTGATGACGGGTCGGAGCGGACCATACTCCTGCCTGCAGCAGCGCAGAGTCTCAAGCTCACTGGTGAGACCGAAAACATGGCCCTCCAGACCGTCCGGCAGGATGTCAGAATGATACGTGGCACAGCAGTGTCGTTCTCCATATCACCAGCGGATCAGCCACAGAAGTCGTTCCGGATAAACAGAGCCTTTACAGCTGACCAGCTGGGGCTGGCGGAGCACACCTACCCTGTGAATGCACTTCAAAGGAAGCACAAGCACTTAAGAGGTATCCCACTCAAGGCACTGAACCGAGTGCGCCCTCTGCTGTTAATTGGGTCTGATTACCCCCACCTCATCACACCAGTGGAGCAGGTGCGTCTAGGTCCCCCGGGAGCCCCAGCTGCAGTAAAGACAAGGCTCGGCTGGGCGCTACAGGGGCCAACGAAGCAGATCAAGCAACAGTCTGCAGCACAGCAGTGCCTCCACATCTCTTTCTCACCTACTGCTGAGCTGCATCAGAGCGTTGAGAGACTGTGGCAATTAGATGTTCTCCCTTATAAGAGTGAAAAGCTCGTCACACGCTCCAGGCAGGAGCAGGATGCCGTCCACCTGTTGGAAGCGAAGACTACCCGTGTCAGCATTGATGGCATCAAACGCTATGCCACCCCCCTCCTTAGGGTAAAGAACATGCCACAGCTTAAGGCACCGAAAGAAGCGGTGTTAGCCAATCTCCGCAGCACAGAGAGGCGTCTGAGGAGGGACCCAGAGAGAGCTGCGGCATACTGCGCAGAGATTGCCAAGCTGGAGAAGGCTGGCTATGCAGTGAAAGCTACAGAAGAGGAGCTGAGAGACGTGGCTGAATCCTGGTTCATCCCACACCACATGGTGAGCCACAACGGAAAGAACAGAGTGGTCTTTAACTGCTCTTTTATGTACAAGGGAGACAACCTGAATGAGCTGCTGTTGCCTGGCCCCACTCTGAGTTCAAGTCTGTTGGGCGTTCTCTTGCGCTTCAGAGAACACACAGTCGCTGTAAGCAGTGATATCAAGGGCATGTTTCATCAGGTGAGGCTGCTCTCCGAAGACAGGCCCTTGCTGCGCTTCCTTTGGCGCAACCTGAAGACAGAAGAATCACCCAGTGTTTATGTATGGCAAGTTTTGCCATTTGGCACAACCTGTAGCCCTTGTTGTGCCAGCTATGCCTTACGGAAGCACGTGTTTGACCACAGCCGAGCAGACGAGGATGTCCGCTTGACCATAGAGCGTTCATTCTACGTGGACAACTGTCTGCACAGCCTCCGCTCTACAGAAAAAGCCCGATATCTGGTGGACAAGCTCACAGCACTGCTGGTAACTGGTGGATTTGAGCTACGCCAGTGGGCCAGTAACATCCCGGCCGTCATCAGCCACCTGCCAATAGAATCCAGATCTGAGAGCAGTGAGCTGTGGCTTAACGAGTCCAGCACTGATCCACAGGAGCTGACCTTAGGGCTTCGCTGGCACTGTAGCTCAGACACCCTGGGATACAAGTACCGGATGCTGGACCGGCCCACACCTACCATGCGAAATATATACAGCTTACTAGCCCGTCTGTATGACCCACTAGGCTTCATTGTGCCCTTTACAACACGGGCTAAAGTCCTGGTGCAGCATTTGTGGGACAAACAACGAGAGTGGGACGACCCATCACTCCCAGACAACGTGCTGCAGCCCTGGCTGAGCTGGGAAGAGGAATTGCAGCACCTCTCAAATATTTCTCTGCCTCGCTGCTACGTTAGCCCTGAGATGGACACCTCCAACTGTCAGAGAGACCTACACATCTTTGGGGATGCTTCAGAGAAAGCCTATGGCTCGGTGGCCTACCTACGAACAGAGAGCCCTGATGGTTGTGTGGAAGTGTCCTTTTTGTCTGCGAGGTCCACAGTAGCCCCAAAGAAGCAGCTGTCAATGCCGAGGCTCGAGTTATGTGCTGCACTAACAGCAGCTCAGATGGCCTCACTATTGCAGAGAGAATTGACTGTGCCTATCCGTGATCTTGACCCTTTGGACTGACTCAACCACAGTCTCACCAGGCTTCAGTCAGTACTCAAAGTCGATATAAGGTGTTCCTCGGAACATCGCAATTTGGCACGAGATCCAGGAGCTTACCGATGCTCTGTTCGTTCAGATCACGTGGATACAGCTAACAACCCATTCTGACTCACATCACACGGGGAAAGACCACTGCTAGACACTGGCTTCAACAGCAGAGTGGCCAACCACAGGTCCCACTCTAATTCACTGAGCAGTGTTTCAGTGGAAACCACATCAGACTTCACACAGTGAAAAGGGGAAAGGGGGGTCTACCTGTGACTCATGCTGCTCTGAGCATCATTCATCTACTTCCTCTAACCTAAACCTTTCAGTCTATTCAGGTCTTTAATCCTCTGGCCGTGCTGATGTAACTTTATGGACCTCATCACATATGCACCAGGAAGAGGTGGGCTCTCTAAGAAACTCTGGCCAGAAGGGACAAACCTATAATCAGACAGATTAATGGTAATTTAGTCAGTTACTGTAGACTGTTAAACCTGCCCCAATCAGGCAACCACAGCTACAGGATGATCTTTGCAGGTGCATTGGGCACATCCCTAGAGTGCTGCCCCATTGTTACATTTTTCACAACAACTCCTCATTGTGAGTAGCTGCTCACTGGCCCAGTGTCATGTAAGTCACTAATTACCTGGACTTTGTGAAGTACCACTAATAAAAGACTGTTAACATATATCTCCTGGGTAGGATATCACACAAACTAGGATGACTGTAGAAATGAGATCATTATGTCTGTATTTCCATTTCTTGACTAAGTCACCAGGATAAACAGTCTCTGTCAGAACAGCACAAGGGTACCTGGGGGTAACAGCCAGGAATCACCCTTCCACAGCAGCTCCTGGTCTAGGGAATATACATCAACCCCGTCTCCAGCCAGCCTGGGGATACCAACACTTTACTCAAGAGGGTGAGCACTTGCTACAATGAGAATATTGCCCACACAAGCACTCCGTCCAATCATGAGGCAATACACACATTAAGGCTTAGCCGCATCTGCCGAAATAGCTCAGCTGGGAGAGCATTAGACTGAAGACCTGAAGGTCCCTGGTTTAATCCCGGGTTTTGGCAGCGGTGTGGCTGTGCAGCAGACCCTGAGGTTATCATGTCAGTCAAATCCCCATCCACCTTGCAACAGCAGTCTGTCATCAATGGAATGGAACACAAAATTTGCAACTAGTGGGTAGTCAGTTAGAAAAACTGGAGGACCACTCCACCCAACCTCAGTCTTAGGATGCCTCCTTCCCTCTGCTGTCACTGCACCCACAAATGGCTGTGCTTTGAAGCAAATATCTTTGAAACGCATCTCCACAGTTTGAAGGGGAACTACTGCCTGTTCCACAAAAACATCAGGGTTACCACTCAAAGATGTGCTGTACCTGAAGAAGCAAAGCAGTCATTGCTCACTGTGTCTCGTCCAGCAATTCCACTCTTCCTACCACTTAAAACTTTTTCTGAGTCGTGTTACATCAGATAAAAAATTAAATAGGCGCATATAATTAGAGTTACAAGTAAAATGACCCCTATGGTTGGGGTTATGTCATATGCAAGCATGTGAAACAAACATGTGAAAACCAGCCAGGATATTGCTCTCTGAGTGCAATGCATGGGAAAGCAATGCTTGAGCTACTGCTCTTGCAGCTGTCATGTATGAGAAAATGTATTCTTCCAATGACTCCTTATTCATTACATTACATTACATTACATTACAGGCATTTGGCAGACGCTCTTATCCAGAGCAACTTACAACACAAAGTGCATTTCTTTGGGAACAAGATTATTAAAGTGCTAGGGAAGGGTACAAGTCTCAAGTGCCAGTAGGGTTAGAAGGGCTGAACCCAATGGATGACCTGTTGAGGGAAAAAGAAATCATAAATTAATAAACAGTAGCTCTGGAACAACAATTGTAATAACCCTAAGGTAGCTACAGCAAACAACTAAGGCTAAGTCGGAGAGCTAGGGAGAGAAGGAGAGAGGTGCATCCTGAAGAGGTGAGTCTTCAGTCTGCGCTTGAAGGTGGGCAGACTATCTGCTGTTCTGACCACCGTGGGAAGGTCATTCCACCAGCGGGGAGCCAGAACAGACAGCAGACGTGACCGGTAGGTGCAGGCATTGAGAGGAGGGGGCACCAGGCGCGCTGAAGATGCAGAACGGAGTGCACGAGCAGGTGTGTAGGGTCTGATAAGCTTCTGAAGATAGGATGGAGCCATCCCCTTAACAGCCTGGAAGGCAAGCACCAAAGTCTTGAATCTGATGCGAGCCGAGACAGGTAGCCAATGAAGGTCGGCAAGGAGGGGAGTGACGTGGGTGCGTCTGGGAAGGTTGAAGACCAGACGAGCAGCAGCATTCTGGATGAGCTGCAAAGGTCTGATGGAAGATGCTGGAAGGCCAGCAAAGAGGGAGTTGCAGTAGTCCAGGCGGGAGAGTACCATCGCTTGGACAAGCAGCTGTGTGGAGTAGGTGGTGAGAAAGGGGCGGATTCTCCTGATGGCTCTCCTTATTCTGTCTCCAGTGCGTGTAGCATCTACGCAGATTCGACAGATAGCGAACAGGCTTCAGAGAAAATCAGACGCAGAGCAAAGTTCGAAGGATTTATGCAATCTTCTTTTCTCTTACATTTTGATATTATTTTCATTTTTGTAAAAGTGCAAATAAGTAAAAGGATGTATAAATCAATTTACATTGTTTTTGAAAGCATAAAGTCAACAGCAGCATGTCACTTGCTAACAGAATAATCTACCTAAACATGAACATGAGCTAGGTATAGCTTGGAATATGTATGTTTAGCTTTTGCTCTTACCCTTTTAAATAAAATATCCTTCCTCAAAACATATGGGAATTAGTTATTTTGTTATTTAACAAGATGCCTATTTGTGTACATTAATCACAAAGGTTAAAATAACATACAGGTAACGGCTATCCCAGGCACAAATGGAGTAGGAAACGATAAAACAGCTTCTAAAAAAAACACTGAAAATGAACCCTATTGTTTGGCCTATGATTGCAGTTGCATCATATGTAAGTCCTAAAGACACAAAAATGATTCGAGCTGCTCTGTCTGCAGGGAAATCCAGCCATTGTGTGTGAATTGGGTCACACTTGAAATGACCCAATCGTATAGTCTGTGGTTCCGGCTGCATCATATGCAGGTCCCAAAGACATTTGTATTTTAATACACATTACGGGAGTTACAGGAATGTTTGTTCAAGATTGTAAAATACTCGCCAAAAGGTCTCCCAACTGGCTTCAGACGCTAACAGTTACAGGAGTGTTTATTCAAGATTTATACATGTTTTAAACTTCACATGTAACCACATACTTATGCCACTGATTGTCACAGAGAGCATTACTAGTACGACAAATACACACACAAACGTTAACTGTGTTGTACTGAAGAATCTTATCAAGTGTAAAATAGCTATACACCGTTGTGTACAATTTACGTCCCTTGCCAAGTCCTCACTACTCACAACGCACCTCCTAAACCTCTTAGGATGGCATGCAGCTGATATACACTCAGTTTGCTTACATACAATTGAAGGAAATGATGATTAACATTACTACGGCCGCTGGCAACATACACCGGAGCTTCCCAAAGCTCGCTCTCATCGCGTCAAAATATAGCATCCCTCCACACCCATCACAGGGTCAAACCTCTCTCATTAATTAAAACAAACTCATTATCACTCCTCATTCAGCATCATATCCTCAGCAACTCGAATTCTAATTGTAAGACTGGCAGGCAAAACTTTTGGACACAGACACTGTTGTTCTCCAGGCTGACGCCAATAGTTGCAGCAGCGTTTGCTCTAGCTTTATATATGTTTTTGATGATGTCACAGAGACTGTACGGCAAAATCCCATTCATGTCAGTGACGGTAAAGTTAGTGCTTGACTCCCGTCATGTACTGGCAAGGAACTTCACCATCAAACAACATACTGTATAAATGACACTGATTTTCACGGCAAGCCTTACTAGTACCACAAATAAACGTACCAATGTTAACTGTGCTGTACTGAAGAACTATACATCAATGTGTACAATTTGCCTCCCTAGCCGAATCCTCACTACTCACAACACACCTCCCAGGACGGCATGCAGCTGATATACACTCGGTTTGCTTACATACAATTCAAGAAAATGATGATTAAAATTACTACGACGGCCGCAGGCAACCAACACCGGAGCTTCCCAAGTTCCGTGGACAGCTTGCTCTCATCGCGTCAAAATATAGCGTCCATCTCAAAATATATAGTCCCATCTCTTGCTCGCAAGAAAAAAGTAAACAAGAATAAATGCTGCTTCCTTTTGGGAAACCTTGGTCAAGTTGCTAGGCGTTGTTTAGAATATACCGTAAACAGGAATAGCTGTGTACTTGTGAACAAGCAATTGAACAAGCAATTCTGCTGCCCTCCAAAGGAATTTATATCCACTAAACCATTCTTTTGTGCCATAAAACAGAGCGAAAGTCTTAAATGTGGCAACAACAAACCCTGAATATGATGGTCACTTTTAGACATTTGAAAACTGACTTGTCTAAGGTTGTGGGCATTGCAAGTATTCAATGGCCCGTACAAGAGTTGATGCACAGCTGTATGTAACAGCATAAAAAAAAAGTAGCATCTGACATATTTTGATCAAGATTATTCATATAAATAGTGAATAAAAGTGGACCAAATACAGAGTCCACAGACCTAATTCGTACACCCTTGTGGACGGATGCAATATCAGAGCACTGAGACCTGTTACTAAGGCAGTTTGAGAAACAAGCGATTGTTTGCTCCGAGAGTCCTGAGTTAAAACGTATAAGTTTCAAAACATCATGGACAACTGTGTCGAAAGCTTTGGACAGGTCAATGGAATTGGCTATGCTATTTATTGCCTAATTGCAAAAAGTGGAGACCACAGCGATGTTTAAATGTAAATCCAACGTTATTTGTGCTTCACTTTGTGTTGTTTTGTATCCGCTGTGCTGTTGTGGCTTTTGGTTAATGGTATTACAGTCGGGGATGTGCTGTGCAGGGTGAGGGAGCTGGAGACGAACGAGATCGTCATCTCATTCCTTTACCTCCCGGGTAACATTGCCAACCAGGACATTTCAAACAAGTTGGTGGGATGGGGGGTTACTCCTAACCTTCCCATTAGACAACGCTTCTACCCGGGAACTACAGTCATTGACGGCACCAGGTATCTAGAAGTGCAGTTCCCAAGAGAAGTACCCTCACTGCCGTACAGTGAAACTTTGCCGGCTTTGCATGGAGCCCGGTCATGTCTTGAAAGACTGTCCAGTGTTTGTGTGCAGGCAGTGCAACAAGCAGGGGCATTCTGCGAGGAACTGTGATGCAAAGTTGTGCTTGGTATGCAAAATATATGACTGTGTGTGTGGAAACGTAAATTGAGGGGAGCATAATAATGCGGAGGACAGTGAAGAGATGTCGGTACAGGTTACACCTCTGACGGGAGAACTGACAGAGCAAGTATCAGCAATGGGGGAGTGTGTTCTGGAAAGGGAGTAACGGGAGTCGTGAGAGGTTGGAGGGGAGGAGGGTGAGGAGATTGAGAAGGGAGAGTGAGGAGCAGGGGAAGAACGACAAGTCCCACCGCCGTCGGAGGATGAGCAGAGCCTATCCTTCTCGCAGCAAGGGACACCGCAGCAAGACACCTTCTTCGATCTGATTTTAAGTTGAATCAGATCGAAGAAGAGAAGTGCAGGGGTTTGATTTTAAGGAGTAAGTCAAACTATGTGATGGAAGGGGAGAGGAGCACAAAGTTCTTTTTTAATTTGGAAAAGGGTAGACGGCGGGCTGATGAAATAAAAGGGGTTTTAAAACAAGATGGTAGCATAGAAACGAGGACAGGTATTTTAAGTATGGTGAAGGAATTTTATGAGGATATGTTTAAAAGTAGAGGTGTAGATGAGTGCGAAGACGATTTTTTATTGAGTCAGATAAAGAGTAAAATTGTGGATGATGATGTAGGGTTCAGACCAGAGACAGCAACACATAGACACAGAGACTCACGACAACTTTTTGGAATTCCAATACCTATTTATTAACGTCCGGACGGGAAG